AGCATCTCCCAAATTCACAGAATTTTACTTTAGGGAAGTAGAGTGGACATTCTAATTTATTCCATATGCAAGTTACAGTCCTGGGGAGAGTGGATCCCCTGCCTATACAAGCTTTCTCTGCAAAGGAGGAAGAGGTGACTTCATGGCAAAATAACTCTAGTGTTTCAGATAAACTCTGGCTGCTGACAGACGTGAAAAAAACCCCAGTGCTTTACTAGAAGAGCAGTGCGCTAGTTCAACTCAGCTCCCCAGTCTCTGTATCGATCACGTACTTCAGCAGAGTATTTTTGGCACATTTATCTAAAGCTGAGCCTATCTGAAGCCATCTACATCTGAGCTCAAAGTAAAATACTGTCTTTTTTTTTTCTTTTTTTTCATGCCTCTATATGCTTCAAAGATGAAGAAACTACTATAAAGAAAAGAAATGTCAAGGAAGGGGAGGGAAAACCTAAAGAGAATAAGGAGTTTAATTTTTAGTTTCATAATAATTTGACAAATGATTTGTCAGAAACAGCTGTATTACCTAACCCTGATTAATGGGACAGCATTGCTAAGCTTGGAAAAAGCCTTGTGACATGATGCAATGTGATGTGATCTGATATGGGCAGTGACTTCCTTCCAAATAGACTGGATGTTAAACCTTACAAATAAAGACAGTGGTTAGTGCTTGCCACCTTCCTGACTAGTCTTATTTGTAAAATAATACCTCTTTTTTTTTCCTTAACTGAGATGTTACACATTAAACCCTTTGAACTACTTTATAACCACAAGAAAACTTGTGTCACCATTGCTCATGTGATTAGCACTAAACTGTGTGGTCATCAGGGATCCTGGTTTTCATTGTTTAAAAATTACAAATTGTTTGATTTAAAACCTGCAAATTCTCTGATTAAAACCTCCAAAATTCGTCACTGTCCGCCCAACCCCCACTCGCTCAGCCCTTCCGGACGGGGCCCCCAGCTGCAAGGGCTACAGGGCCAGGACCCAGATCTGCAGCCTGCTGCCTCCCCCCGCCCCCTCCTCCTACCTCCCAGCAGTGCCTGAACCTCAGCTGCTGTCCACAGGAGCACGGAGCCCGATTTCCCCCTCCCCCATGGGTGGCAGAGCCCATATGCGGGCTTGGCACTGCAGGCTCAGACTCCCCACTCTGCTGTCCTCCCCTCGGGGGCCTCCGTAACCCAGCGGGCGAGACCCGGCACAGCAGGACAGAGCGAGACTGGGCAGGGAAGTTTGGTGCCAAGCACCACCATTGCAAGGCACTCCCCGTCCACCCGGCAGCTACGGAAGTGGTGGCACAGACTTGTGCATCCCACTGTGGGCAGGAGGCACTTTGCCATAGTAGTGCTTGTCTCGCAGTAGCAGCGTTGAGCTTCCCCCACCCAGCCCCACTCTGCTCTGCAGTGTCAGGTCCCACCCACTGGGTCAGACCTGGTGCTGAGGGGAGGGCAGAGACCCCAAGCCTGCAGTGGGTAGTCCACACCCAGCCCTGCCCTGTGCACAAATATGTGGGGCATATGCCCCCTAGGTCCTCTCTAGGAATGTGCACAGTGGCGAGGAGCCAGCTCCCCCACACCCTGGACAAGCTGCCTGCAGCTCTGTCCCGCTCCCTGCCTTGGCCCTTTGGCTACACATTTCAGCCTTGGGGCCCAAGCCCCATGCACTGCCCAGGCTAGGCAGCTCTGCCCCCAAACTTACCTGCAGGGAGCTGCTCTCCAGGCTGCCTGGTGGCCATTTGCATGTATACGTTCACATATGCGCATGGCACCCCCTGCCTGACTGCCCTCCTCCCACTCGCCAGCCTGCAAAGAGAAATGCACTGTTTCCCACATTTTTCTCCTTTTAAAGGAGAAAATCCAGGCTTTTCTCCTGAAAATGGGAAGAAGAAAAAAATCTGGGTTTTACTGCGTTTTTTCTGTGGCAAATGGAAAACCCAGATCCATGGTAGTCACTAAGTTGGAAACCATTTATATCTCGAGCTCCTGTAGAAATTTCTGCATATACTTTAGGATGGTGGGAGCCAACTTTCTGAGCAAGCATGGCACAAATTAGCCTTGCAACCTCCACAAATGCCACTTGGATCTATTTTTCTTACCTTATCTGCTGCACTTTTTGTGCCCTGTCTGATCTGATGCACTGCCTTCTACTTCCCAGGAGATGTCTGGATAATTAAAATCGCCCATGACAACCATGTCACATACATGTGCAGCCTCAGTCAATTCTCGGGTGAACTCCAGATCGAGTTTCTCCCCCTGGTTTGGTGGTCTGTAGTATACACCTACAGTTAGGTCTCTCTTCCTCCCCCCCCCCCCCCCCACGCCCCCCCCCCCCAACTTGACCCAGAGGGTTTGAAGCTGTTCATTTTTGGAGCCCATGTTGGCCTTCAAGGAGGTGTACTGCTTTTTCATATAGAGAGCAACGCCTCTACCTTTTTTCCCCACCTGGTCCCTTCTGTGCAGGGTGTAGCCCTCTATAGCTATACTCCAGGCATGGAAGGAGTCCCACCAGGTCTCTGTGATCCCTACTAGATCATCATGCACACTGGAGAGTAGGAGGGCTAGCTCCTCTGGCTTGTTCCCCATGCTCCTGGCTTTAGTATATAGACACCTGAGTCTTCCTACTGAGGCCCTCATCTTCCTGTTCTGCTGATGGAGAACTATTCCCTCAGCTCCTGCAAGAGTGGCTCTCCCAGTGTCCCTATCTACTGGGCTTACTTGTATGTTGGTCCCTGGACATGTTTGAATTTGTGTATCCTCATCCTCCAGCAGTCTTAGTTTAAAGCCCTGTCCAGAAGATCGGCCATCCTGGCTGCGAACAGGAACTTAGCTTTCCTCGTGAGGTGGATGCCATCCCTTCCCAGGAGTCTTCTCTCTCTGAAGTATGCACTGTGGTCAAGAAATCCAAAGCCTTCTCGATGGCACCAGCATTGGAGTTGCCAGTTCACTTCCTCATCCTTCCCTTCTGGGACAACAGGGAGCGCAGAAGAAAAGACTACCTGGGCTCCCAACCCCTTGAGCACAGCCCCCAGAGCCCTGTAATCATTCATGACCCAGTCTGGATTACTCCTGGCCATGTCATTAGTTCCCACATGGTTGAGGAGCATGGGATAGTAGTCGGAGGGCTGGACAGGCCTGGGGATCCTCTCTGCTACATCTCCGATGTGAGCCCCTGGGAGGCAGCAGACCTCACAGGCAAGGGGGTCCAGATGGCAGATGGGTCCCTTAGTGACCTGCAGGAGGGAGTCCCCCCCCACCACCACCTTGCGCTGCCTCTTGGGGGTGGCAGCAAGCTGCTTACCTTTCTCCTCTCCTGGTGTCACGATCGGAGCTGCCTCCTGCATGGGGAGGGGAGTGTACCTGTTGTGCAGGGCCAGGGGAGGAGCAGCCCTGGCCGTGGGTTTCCTGGAGCATCAGGTGACTGTCTTCCAGGTCGCTCCAGATAGATCTTCTTGGTTATCCATCATGTTGGCTACCATCTCTGTCTCTTCTTCCATCTTCTGAAGAAGGGTCTGGCAGTAGCTATCAGTGAAGTCTTCATGGGCCCTGATGGTGCACAGCTGATGCATCTCCTCCTCAAGTTCCTGCACCCGGCCCTCCAGAGGCTCCACCAGGGAGCACACCCCACAAGTGGGGGTGCCCCCATGCTCAGTACCCAGCAGCCGCGCCAAGCAGCCCCCGCAGTCCGGGGCCTCGGGCTCTGTCTGGGTGAAGGTCTCAGTGATGGCAGGATGCCTGCGGGTATGACAAGTCACCGCCATGGCCGAGAGCAATTATGTGGTAATAGGCTATGCTACTACCCATGAACTGGCCTACGAACTGCCTGTAAACTGCTTCCCTTGTTTGCGGTCCTGTTCGCTGGCTCCCTGGTCAATCTCCCTGGTCGCCTGGGGAGTCTCAGCATTTCTTGCTGACTAGCTTCAGTTATTGGGTAGTTTTTCCTTGAGCTGCCATATAGCTGCTACGTTTCCTCTTGGAGGTAACTAAAACTCTTTTTTTGTAAAGACTTCATAAGGTAAAAGGCACTATATAAATTCAAGCAATCCAGTATCTGGATGTTGTTACGGGACCCAAAATAGAGTGCAACGGCATCACGATAAAAGTAATAGTTAAAAAGAGATTATTACAGTTGAAATTGAGCTTTCAGAACCAGGCATGAGACCTCTTTCTCTCACGCCAGAAGTGAGGGCAGATTAAATGTGTCCATAGGACTTCCTTCAATGTTAAAGTGCAAACTTTTTCTAATAGATGTGTAGAGCAAGGTTAATCCAGAGCCTAAGCATTTGGATCAAGTGTCTATAATCGCTTCTGTGTGACACACAGTTAGCTTTTTTAATACTGCTAGAAATTGGCTTATGTCACACTGTTACTCTAGAAAGTACAGCTTGAAAGAGAGAGAGGCACAGATGATACCTTCATGCTCAAAGGAGGATCCTGGGGAGCTGTGCAGCACATGTGCAGTGAGCTCTCTGAGCTTACCAGCTTGTTGCTGTGCTTCCAGAACCCAAGGGGTGAGCGCTGTCACTGGTCACGTCCCTCTCCACCTGCACCCTCAGCTTTTCCCCCGCTGCCAAAAATGGCATCAGGCAGAGGGTTTGAGGGAGTGAGCACTACCAGCATTCGCCCCCTGGGTTCTGCCAGCAACCACTCAGACAAGCCAGTGAACCCAGAGAGGCCAGTGCATGTGCACTGCAAAGCTAAAGGAGGTTTAATCGCACCCACTCTGCAGCCTCCCCTAGACCAGCTTGTATGTATGCTTGTTGTCAACAGAATCCAAAAGCTGTTGCTAAGAGGGAGATAACTCTCTGTCAGTCTATAATTAATGAAAAAGTAAGTAGGTGTGCAGATAGACTCAGCAGAAGTAGGCATTCAGGGTCCTAACTGCTTAGAGGACAAATTAATTTTCTCCTCTGCACCATTTTGCATATTCCCTTCTCTACAGGGTTTGGCATGAGTTCTGATTTAGCTCCTTCCATTTAAATGTCCTGCCATTCTTTTGTTTCCTAGCTCAACTGTACAAGATAGAAGGGATAAAAACCATTGCTGTCACAACAAATGGGATTAACTTGGCCAGGCTGCTGCCCCGGCTGAAGGAGGCTGGTCTGGATGCCATTAACATCAGCTTGGATACTCTGGTTCCAGCCAAATTTGAGTTCATTGTCCGGAGGAAAGGTACCAGTATTCTTCTTTTCACTTTATATAAAATTGGTTAGTGTCTGTCTGTCTGTCTGTCCTCTAAAACTAGTATAAAAATATCTCTCCTTGACTTGAGTTTGGTTGACTCTTTTCCATTCTATCTACACTTTCTCCAGACAAATACTGAATGGTTAGAGTCAATATTGCTTACCTATGAACAGCAGCTTGCATTCAAGTCATTCTTATTTGGTAGGATCCTAACTGCATTTGCCAAACCTTAAGTGACTGCTGGTTATTCATGAGAATCTTTTGAATCCTGTAAGTCAGGGGTGTCAAACATCTGGCCTACAGACCAGATCTGCTCTGTGGCCCCCAATGCTGTCCTGGGGTCTGATTAGTCCCACACAGGGCATGGCTCACACCCATGGTGCAGGCTGATTCAAGCCCACAGACATCCTCCCCTTTCCTCTGTGTCCCCCCGGCTTCTCCAGCATGCCTGATCCAGCACACTGCAGAGATCCCAGAGCACTGGAACAAATGCAGTGTGCAGAACAGTCTGGCCAGAGCAGCAGCACATGGTGACTGCCCCAGCTAAACTGTGCCAAACACAGTGCCTGCTCTGGCACGCACACTGCACACAGCTGCCACTCCAGCCAGTCCGAGATCTTTGCTGCATGTAGAACTTACAGGCCTGGGGCTGCTGGGGCGGGCACCATGTGCAGCGCAATTCAGCCAGGGCAGCCACCGTGTGCAGTGCAGCTGCTGCTCGAGACTGTGCCTCTCACAGTGCAGTCCCAGACCAGCTGGAGTAGCTGCTGGATCAGGCATGCTGGGGGAGGGGAAAGGAGAAGGGGTTTGTGGGCCTGATCTGGGCCAATGGGGCTGAAAGAACTTTGGCATCCCTGCTGTAAATCCTGCACATGAAGTCTGACTGGTCTCCTGTTAAATGTTATCTGCCCACCTATCAAGAAAAAGTAACAATACCCTGAAATCAATCACTCATACTCTCAAAAAAAAAATGCCAAGTAACTGGTTGTGACATGCTTCTCCTCTCAATCGCCTTCTGCCCTCCTACAAAACCTAAAATCAGTTCATCCAGATCAGTGATTGTCAGCTTGTTCCTTACTAAGCCCCTGTGCTGGAAGAAAAAAATTGGTAAGAACCTCTCCTCAGCTGTGCCCCAAGAAGAAGAGGGTGACCAAGCTGTGCTGCAGCTTGCTTGCAGCTCAGGCTCAGAACCCATGCTCACTGGTGATTGGGTTGGCTGATGACATGTTTGCTCGTTACCACTTCTGTTTTGCCATACTCATTTTTTATTCTTAAATTCTAAGAATGTTTGTTTCTCTCAGAGTAAAAATCTTTTCACTCCTTCATTGTCTCCAGTAAAGCCTGCATTAAGGGCCCACCCAATGGACAACGCAGTGTCTTATGCAACCACTTAAAATGTCTAATTGATTTCCACTTTTCTCTCAGAAAAGACTGGTAGTAGGAGTTCAGTCCAAGTCTAATGGATAGGTATCAGAATGGCCTTGTTTGACTTAGTGTTGACTGTCCCAGCAAAGCAGCTACAAATTATTTTGTCACAGAGACTGAATGAAGCTTACTGTGACCAATGTAATTAGTCTCCTAAAGTCATGGTTGAATCACATCAGTCATATGTGTAGCAAGTATTGCTTTCCATTCATTGCTTTTTTATGAGGAAAAACAGAGCCTGCACCTGAAATTACTGAGGAAGGACTGAAATCTTGTCCCATGTATTCTAGCTACTTGCAAGATAGTAAATCAAAATGTAAATTTTAGAGACGTGTCCGAAGAGTGTATATGAAATGTTTAAAGATACCTATTAAATGAATCCTAATAAATTTTCAAGTTTGTTTCCATTCTGAAATTCAATAATCTAGTATCAGATTTTTCCATCTAAAAATATAATTATGTCAATGCCTATAAACTTATCTGAGCTGCAGTTTTAAACAGTTTACCTACAGGCCATTAGATGGTGCTGCAGTACCAATTTAAAATACCATGTCTTAGATTTAAAAACCTACAGTGCAGCAGAAAAGTGACTTTAACATACTGAGAACTTGGTTATTGAGCCAAGGTTTGGCTATATTCCCCAACCAGACTAAGCACAGGTACATATCTGAGACAGGTGAGGAATAGGGGTTTTTCTCCTTCTTTCTGTCATTACCCATTTAGTGCCTGGGTCATGGTGAGGAAACGTGCTCTATTCAGATAAAGATTTGAAACGTACAGACATTGCAACCTCAGTTTAGGGCACAGCACTGTACCATGAGGCAGCTGCACCAGTTGAGTTGTTCCAGGAAAATATTTGCAGGGACTGGGGGTCACACTGGAGAGTTCTTCCATTCTCTGCCTCCTTGCTCACTGCAGTTAGATTAGCACAGTTTTAGACGCTTACTGAAAATATGCCCTTTTTCTGTTATTGAAAGGGCAAACTTGATCCTGCAGCTTCCTGAATTACATGGCAGCAGCTCTGGATATCTGATTGGAAGTCATTAGAAACGTACAGCATACAGACTACATCTCTCTAGAAGTTGTAGGGGACACAGATAATTTATATATTTAAAAAAAAAGATACTAGCTACAGAGAGGTTTTTCTTGTTGAGTGCTGCTGAGCTAAATGTGCAAGAGCAAGATGGGGAAATCCCTATGGCTCTTAATAAAATGTATCAAGAAGAAATGAGGAGTAAAAGTTTCAGGTTTTTTTCAGGGTGGATCTGATTTAAATCATGATTTAAATAACTGGTCAGGAAGCCTAGATTTTAATTGTTGTTTTCTACAAAAAGTGCGTTCTTGTTATTTGATATAACCTTCATTAAAATATTTCCAAACAGGGTCTCTTTTACAGCCTGGCAAGCCTGCTGCAATGATAAGTTTTCCCTTCTACTATACCATTCCCTCACTAGATCTCAAATCAATGGAGGGGCTATACTCAGAAATTTATCCCTCAAGACTTCTGGAATATCCTGCTCTAAATGTTTTTCTTTTGTTTCTGCTGCCCCTCCCTCCTTGCATTTATTTCCAGACTCCTCTTCCTTGCCCAGGTCTACTCCACCCCCAACAATCCTCGATTTCATTTAACTTCCTGAAGCTTTGCACTTTTAGAGAGAGGTAAGGGCTTGACTCTGTGTACACAAACTTGCAGAGATGACAGAGCTGATGGGTAGAGAATCAGGTCTGTTAGCTCTCATCTGCCTATACTGCTGTTAACAAGGATGTTATATCTGAAGACACAATCCACAGTTTGAGAACTGAAACTAAGCATCACAGAGATGTTTAATGGGATCTTCTAGACTGAGCACAGAGTCCTATTGGGTACAGTGGTTTTCTTTAATCTTTACTAATCTATGGAGGAGCCTCTGGGAACCCCATAAAATTGGTCCGCTAATATAGTCCATGGCCTGTTGTGACCTATTTATAAAACTTTCCTAAAAAGGTTACATGAATATATTGTCTCAAATAGTATATGATTAGAAGTTATAATGACTATTCTGCAATGGAGACAGTACAATCGTATAGTGGAGTAATTATGTGCTCTGAAACACATGTGTAGACATTGATAGGGGCTGGCAGGGGTACAAGGGTGCTAAAGTGCAGGGACTGCGTGCTGCCATGCCCCAGATCTCAGCACCCTCGTGCCCCAGCCAGCCCTGACACCGCCACCACCTGCCAGCCCAGGGCTGCTTTGCCCCAGCTCAAAGTGCTGTGGTCTCAGGTGCACATGCAGATGCTGCACCTGAGAATTTATCATGTTGGCTTAATGGCACATGTAGATGCATCCTCTATGTATGAAAATGTATTAGACAACAAATGCAAATGAAGTTGCATTAGACAAACATGTTCTCTCAGTTCATTCCTACCTCCATATCCCATGGGATGGCCTAGTGAAGAATATCTGTCCTTGGATAGTGACAGTCTAAATTAGCCTATAGCTCATCACATTTTTTCTCTCCATCATCCTGAAGAAAATGAGATAACAGCCTTCTGAAATAACATAAAAAACAAGACTCAAACCACTTTTTACTGAGATAATATCTGGAAAGTGGAATTTCATGTGGGATCATTCACAGTGAAACATAAGGGACAGATGCTTGCTTGGTTTAAGAACCTATCGGGGAGCAGGGGAGAGAGAATGACCAGCTTGAATGTTCAACCTTGAAATGTTCATGTCATAGGAAAATCCCTGTAAAACCATTTCTGAACTATTTATATTTCAGATTTTTTTATTGGAATTTTGAAGCCTGGTATTGACATTTTATTTTATGAAGATTTTTCTTATTTGTACATTAGTTCATGACATATCAGTAATGTTAGTGTTAGTGCATAATATGACAGGATGATATGATACCTGAAGTCTTATTTTTTCAGTGTCCCCCTTTTTCATTACAAAATTCCTAGATCTAGGGAAAATAGATGTTTCAGTTAATGTCTCTTCCTGGCCATGTTGAGTCTGCAAAATCACTTAATCAGAATGTCACACATTCTTTCAAGGTCAAGCATGAAGGATGCTGTATATGTTGGTCAGGAAGGATTGTAAGGCCTACATCTTCTACTTCCCTTCTGTACACCCTTGGGTGTCATGCTTGTTATGTACCAGACAAGGGCGAATGGAAGGAGGAAGAGGAGGAATATTTAAGTACTCTTCCTTCCCCAAATCTAGAAACACTTCCTACATGCTCACCTTGTATAAAATGGTAAAACAATGAGCAGAACTGAAGCACAGAAAGGTTGAAAACCATATCTGAAAGGGGTTTGGTCACCTACAGATGCAAAAAGGTGCTGCTGTATTGTGAGGTGCCTGGATACCTTTAAAAATCTGGCCTCATGTAATTTAGAAACATGGGTGTGAAATGGACCTCTTGGATCATGAGTGAGTCCCCAGCAACCTCAAAAACTATCTATATATTTCTTTAGATAAGCTGAGGAAGATCCATCTTAACATTGGGTTTTTATCCCCACTTTCCCCTCTTGAAAGGGTGTTTCAGAACTTCACTGCACTGAAGGTTTAAAAACCTTCCTCTAATTTCCATCCTAAATTTATTTCTGGTCAGTTTTTATGAAGTTGTTCTTGTACTAGCATTGTCACTTAGCGTACATAGCTCTTTCCCCTCCCAGTATATTTATAGAAAGCAAGCCTGTCTCCTCAGCCTTTGTTTTGCTAGGCTAAGCAAATCGGGTCCATTTAGTGCCCTCTCATAAGGACAGCATGAGCTGCTCTGAGCCTTTTGGATAGGGTGGGGTATAAAATAAAAAGATAAGATGAAAATTTCTGTTTGCAAAGAACCAGTCTCTTGATTCACAGTCCACTGATCAATCTCCTGGAACCAGTTCTTTTCTGTCCCAGTCATCTAAAGACTTTATTCTTGTTGCATTTCAGGCTTTCACAAGGTAATGGAAGGAATTCACAAAGCCATTGAACTTGGGTACAATCCAGTCAAGGTAAGTCCATTCAGCTTGTAATCACCTAGGAGCCCTGGTGGTTCACTCTGTGATACCCACTGCATCTTACTTCTATAGGTTTCTTTGTTTTGGTCTGGTTTTCTTGTTTTGTTTTTGGTTTTGTTTCTTTTCCATTAAGAGTTAGCATTTTTTTTCTTGGTGATATTTAAGGAATCTTTCAGCATTATTGAAGGCTGTTTACCAGTAATGCCACTTTGTTATTTTGTGTAACTGACTCAGCTGTTCTCTGTTCAGAGCTACAGCTCTGACTCATGTCCCTTTCACTGGCTACTGGAACATCATCTAGTATAAATAGCTTTAGATTGCAGAAACAAGATAAATATTTAAAGATTAAAGTTGAGTATAGCTGTGCTTGAAAATATGGGCATTACAGTCTGTTAAGCATACAAATCTTATCTTGGAGTGCCCTTTGGTTCAGTAGTAGAATCCTTGTCTGCCCCACAGGAGACCTGGGTTCAATTCCCAGACGCTTATACAAATACAGCAATGGAGGCACCAAACGTCTGGACTCAGTCTAGCCTTTGGATTCTGTCTCAGTGACCTAAAGTGGGGATGAAGGTCTGGGCAGCCTCCACTCCTCCAAAACTCCTGCCTAGACATGTGTGTTGAAGGTCCGGGTGACTTCTCACGCATACACCATGATCTGGAAGGATCAACGGTTGCCAAACAAGTCTTACTAAGAAAAACTACAGCATGCATCATCAGTGATACAAGCAAGAGGGCCTGAGACTCTGTGGGACTGCAGCTATCAGGAAAGGCCTCCGTTTAAACTTTTCCAGATCCAGGCATTTCTAGTAGTCAAGCTTGCTTTCAATATAGAGTGCTGTCAGCATTACCCTAGTATGAGATAGGAACCCTACCAAATGTTGTATGCACCCCAGAAGAAAGCATTGCTGGATGAGCCATCCTGCCATATTTCTATGGGTTTTATAGAAAGCAGAGCTGAAAAAACATTAGCCATCTTCCAAAGTAAAACTAGAACAGTTAGCTGGGGAGGACACCCATAGCAAAGGAGCCAGTCAGAATGATGCATGAGATAGTATGTCATCACTTGCATCATTTTAAACCTCCTGACATCTCTTAACACTTTTCCTTTGAAGGAGATGCTGTGATGTTTCTGTATACCCTGTTCCTAACCTTGCCTAAGGGCACTGAGTCCTCTTGTACAAGATGAGAACATTGGGTTCTGTACAGAGTGGTTTCAGGCTGCTGGGTTTTTTTCTCCAGGTGAACTGCGTAGTGATGAGAGGTCTCAATGAAGATGAGCTGCTGGACTTTGTGGACCTCACAAAGAATCTGCCTCTAGATGTACGGTTCATAGAGTACATGCCCTTTGATGGTGAGTACTCATGTCCTCAGTTTTCCCTTCTCTGAAGGAACAGGATATGTTTCATCTAATTTTTTTCTTGGAACACATGGTTCTTAAACCTCTTGCTGTTTTTGTTGCTCTTCTCTAGTTTGTGTACAACTTTCTTAAAGCGTGGTGCCCAAAACTGGAAAGTGTGTGTCAGCTGAGGTGTCACTCGTGCTCATTAGAGCTGAGTGTAGTTTAACATTACATTTACTTAGATGCTTAACGGTTTACATATTTTTGTTTAGAAAACAGTAAAACGTACATTTTGTATTTATGAGATTTTTTTTTTTACTTGTGATTTTGTTAACTTTGGGTGGAAATTGGAATGCCATTAAAATGCTTAAAAACAAGCTATTTAAAATTCCTTAGTTAACTAAAATTTCTTGGGATGCCCTCGGTACTTAAGGAAAAAAACCTTTTAGTTGAAATATGTGCGTTTTAAAATGCCTTCTTAAACACTGGAAGCATTAGCTATAGTTAGTGATTTGAATGTTTCTGGTCATCGTGTCCTTCAAGATTATAGAAGCATTATCTCAGCCTCTCGCACCTTATTTTTATACATACTTTGGAAAAAATTGCCTTTTCAACTCCAATTTGATTTCTCAACTTTGAATGAGCTAGTTATTGAACTGAATAAACTGAAGAAACTATTCCCTCTGCATTTGCAGAAGAGGCCATCAGAAGCTGATTCAGCACTCAACAAACTCTGGTTCTAAGTGCTTGGCTAGTAACTTTTACCAGTTCACCAGTTTGACTTCAAAACTTTGGCAACAAACATATACTGCTCATTTGGTCACATAATGATTTTAATAGATTATACTAAGTTTAGGGCTTCAGGCAGGCTGTCATAACTTCAGTTTTAATTTAAATGGGTTTTTCCTTGTTTAAAGATACAAATGTATATAGTTTTCTTATTTGAGATATATAGTTAGAGTTAAAAAAGAAAGAAGTTTTGATTTGGTTTCCCATCACCAAATTCTGTACCCCTCCTGACAGGGCTCAGTTGACTTGCAAGCTTTGCTAAATTTTTGTCTTTTTTTTTTTTTTATGGTCTAGAACAGGGGTGTCAACCTCATTTGGCCCCTATAGGCTAGACCACAGGGCTTCTCACAAGCCAGATGATCCACTTTCAGTGTCAAGACAAGCACTGGTGGTATTAACCCCCGGAATTGTGACACCTTAATACATAGTACCTTTGGCAGCCATTTAAATTAATACCATGGTTGTTTGCCCCAGCACTGCAGAATTCCATCCCCAAGAGACATTACAATTAAAAAAATTGGTGGCAGGGCAAGCAACAGTGACATTAACCTCCACCACTGCCAGAACCATTGTATCAGTTGGGCCAGCACCCAGGGGATTAGTGCTGTTGCAGAATTTCATCCCCAGTGAGGATACCAAACTGAATTCAGTGGTACGACAAGCAGCATTAATCCCCAGGCTGTTGGCCCCACCTTCATAACAGCTCTAGCAGCTGCAGGGGTTAATGCTATTGTTGCTCACTGTGCTGCTGAATGTCCAGCCACTCAGGTTAGATCTGGAGGTATATCTTCCAGACCAGGGAATCCCCACAAGCTAGATGACCCTTTTCTACAAGCCAGATTTGGGCATGGCCTTTGTTTGACACCTGTGGTCTAGAAGGTTGATACAGCTTCTCAGGTATTGTTCACTGAAAAGGACAGCAGACATCCAAGGAATAGGAGTGTGTTTTTCTGTTTAAAAATTCCTAATGACTGATCTATACCTAGGCAACAAGTGGAACTTTAAGAAGATGGTGAGCTATAAGGAGATGTTGGATACAATCAAGCAGAGGTGGCCTGAGTTGGAGAAACTGCCCTGTGAGGCCTCCAGCACAGCAAAGGTGGGTGCAGACAACACTGTGAAAGGAGATCCAAGGCCTCATCAAATTGTGACAGGCTAGCTAGGGTAAAGGGCATGATGGTCCCTAGTCCTCTGTGTAATGAACTTGAAGTCATTAGTCAGAATGCATGCATACAGCCTCTGTGAACAGCAAGCATGATTTTTTACTTCTAGAAACACAGCACTTTTGCCAACTGTGGCTTTGTCAGGTGAAAGTAGTACTAGGCTTCAATCCCTTATCCAGGACTATTGCCATTAAAGGAATCAAACTTTCATGCTTGAACAGGTGTTGTAAATGTCATTCAGTAAATTGCTTCATTACTTCTGTGGATATTTACAGTCCAGGCTGCTGCATGTCAAAATCTTCCTCATCTGATGCTTGATAGGTAAGGACAGATTCACCCAACATCATGTCAGCAGTCTTGTATGATGCCTGTGAATCACAGGGAGCAGGGACATATTTTGTAGATGTCCACTCATTGATTTCTTTTTTCTCCATGTTGTAGAAATTTGGGTCTTCAGAGAGCAGTGAAGTGTGTACACTTGATGGCAGACAGGTTTTGGTAGCTATGGCATTTTTTGTGGCTTATTCTAAAGTCTCTGGCTCTCCAGAAACCCTATGGTGTTACTGCAGTCACGCTGCTTGCATTGATGGAAGGCGTAGGACTCATGTAAAATTAGGAGCAGGAATAGATTTTTTTGGGCTTGCAACAAGGTGAATTTAGTCTTTGTAAAAGTTGCAGAACTGATAGCTTTGAACAAAGTTATCTCTGGCATGTTGAGGCATTTATAAGCTTACCAAAACTTGCCCTTTCCCCAGCTGCCAGTATCAGTATAGTTTAAAAGTTTAACTAGGAGAGCAACTGGATCACTCAGCTTCTCACAGGGGCTGATGGGATTAAAGGCAGAGTGTGTGTATGTGCACTGTGAACACTGACCCACTGAGAAATAGATTGAAATCACTAAAACCTCTTTTTTATAAGACAATAAACAGTAGACATTACAGGATTGACAACTTCCTCTTATCCCATCCTGATCCCAACCCCATTCTGTCTTCCATTGCTGAACCCCTGGGAGGGAGGAAGCCAAATTTAGATGAGGGGTCTCTAGACCAACTTAACCTAGGTTTTTGGCTCCCTAGTAAAGCCTTCTGAAAAAAAATACTTATTAGTATTTCTTCTTTCCCTGACTTCTGCAGGCTTACAAGGTGCCAGATTTCCAGGGACAGGTTAGCTTTATCACCTCCATGTCAGAGCACTTCTGTGGAACCTGCAGTCGATTGAGGATAACAGCAGATGGGAACCTGAAGGTAGGTAGCAACCTGTGACTCCCTTCACCTACTTGCAGCTAAAATGGGGGGGGTGTTGAATTGCTGCTTTTTTATGGTGCTGTGATATAAGACAACAGGAAAAGTCTGCCTCGGTGCAGCTTTTTTTTTTTCTGGGAGTATTCATTTCTGAAGCAACTTGTATATTTTTTTTTCTTTTTTGGCTCTGACACACATTACCTTGCTTTTCCCAGTATTCCATCCTCTGGTTATGTTTAGATAATACAGTAAACTTGAACTGTCAGACTAATTTGTTGTGAGGTCAGTGAAGATAAATACACACTTAAGCTTTTTTTTTTATGTTAAGTCATCTTAAACATGAAACAGGAAAATTGCTTTCAGTAAAAAGGTTGTAAGCAGCTGAAAACTTGGATTTCCTGTTCCATTAGAATACTATTCCATTTCAGGGTTACACTGAAGATCTCTTTCTGCATTCTTCTTCAAAGGCAGCCTATGTGTTTTGTGCAACAGCTGTGGAAGGGGGAGCATTTAGCTTCCTGCCACGTTGAAGCTGGCAGTCCTAAGGGGAAAAATGAAGTTTTCAATTAAAAATTGGCTCTCTTAAGCTGCCACCTGATGGTGACGGTAGATGTCCTGCTGTCTAATACTGGATCACCCAAGCAGCCTGGTAGCCCAGATTTGTTCAAGATCATGATCGCTTCACAAAAAAAACCTGTTCTTTTTTATTTTAATATCCACGTAACTTTTGTGGATCAGTTTTTGCAAAATTTTCTTATTTTAGGTGCAGAGAGCTTAAGTGTTGATATGTGGACTAGACTGACCAATGGACTCATGTTGGGGCATTTACTCATTTAAGATGACATGCTGGAGATATAGAATAAACTTGGTGGAGACGTGGAGTGTAGGAATAATGGAGCCAAAGCTGAACAGTGTAATACCACAGAATAGAGTTGGAGAAGGAGGTAGTCATGGGGAGAGAAGAAAAGTGGAGGTGATTAGAGTGAGGAATGTAATGGAAGAAGCAGGAAAGGAAGGTCACTGAATACTGATTGTACCTACACTATGAATTGAATGGAAAACAGGATTGATTGGCATAGGCTATGTCAAAACATCCATCTTAAATATGGGGCTTGGGGCTTTTTCTCCCCTACATACCTTTCACTTACGTGGTGAGATAAGAACATAAGAAATGTCATACTGGGTCAGATCAAAACGGTCCACCTAGTTCAGTATCCTGTCTCCAACGGCAGGAAAAGTGGCTACTTTACAGTAAATGCATATGAATGGGGCATATCTAGAGTGATCTCTAGCCTCTTAATGGATCTGTCATCAATGAATTTGTCTAGTTCCTTTTTGAACCTAGCTGTACTATTTGCCTCTACAACCTTCTGTGGTTTTCATAGACATTTGGGCTGGAAGGGACCCGGAAGGATCATCGAGTGCAGCCCTCTGCCCCAGGCGCAGGAAGTCAGCAGGGATCATAGGATCCCAGCAAGACAGACATCCAAATGCGTCTTGAAGGTGTTCAAAGTGGGTGCTTGAACCACCTCTGGCAGCAGTCTATTCCAAACCTTGTGGGCTCGGACAGTAAAGAAGTTCTTCCTTATGTCCAGCCTGAATCGGTCATGGCAGAGTTTGTGACCGTTCAATCTTGTCATCTCTTTCAGTGCTCTGGTGAACAGACGTTCCCCCAGATCCTGGTGAATACCCCTAATAAACTTATAGGTGGCCACCAGATCACCCCTGAGCCTGCGCTTTTCCAGGCTGAAGAGTCCCATGGCTCTCAGTCTCTCATCATAAGGTCTGTTTTCCTGACTTCTGATCATGCGCGTGGCTCTTCTCTGGACTCTCTCAAGCTTCTCCACATCCTTTTTGAATTGTGGTGCCCACAACTGGATGCAGTATTCCAGCTGCGACCTCACCAAGGCCGAGTACAACGGGGGGATGACGTCCCGGGATTTGCTTGAGAAGCATCTATGGATGCAAGCCAACGTTTTGCTCGCTTTACTAGCCGCAGCATTGCATTGAAGGCTCATATTCATTTTGTGGTCAATCATGACCCCCAAGTCCCTTTCCTCTGTAGCGCTAGGCAGTGTAGCACTGCCCAGCCTATAAGCATGCTGCAGGTTTTTCCTCTCAAGGTGAAGAACCTTGCATTTTTCAGTGTTAAACAATGTCAGGTTCTCATCCGCCCACTTCATGAGCCTGTCAAGATCTGCCTGGATCACCCTCCTGTTCTCAGGGGTGGATGCTTTACTCGAGTTTGGTGTCATTGGCAAACTTGGCCAGCCCGCTTCTGACGCCAGTGTCTACATCATTGATGAAGATATTAAAAATATAGGCCCTAGGACAGAGCCTTGAGAGGGACCCCACTGGTCACTGCGCACCATGACAATTGACTTGCGTCAACCACCACCCTCTGGGTCCTACAGCAGAGCCAATTCCCCAGCCAGCAGATCGTGGTGAGGTTGAGGCCGCAGTTAGCCAATTTTGCCAAGAAGTGATCATGGGATACCAGATCGAAGGCTTTTTTAAAGTGACATCAATCTCTTCCCCCTTGTCCAGGTGATAGGTCACCTGGTCATAAAAGGAAATGAGATTGGTCAAGCAAGACCTACCCGCAACAAACCCGTGCTGGCTATCCCTCAGGATATTGCCGTCAGCTAGTCTGTAAAGGCTGGCCTTGATAATCTTTTCCAAGACCTTCCCCAGGATGGAGGTCAGGCTGATGGGCCTGTACTTTGCCGGATCCACTTTCCTCCCTTTCTTGAAGATAGGCACAACATTGACCTTCTTCCAATCTTTGGGCACTACACCAGTGCCAGAAGTTCTCAAAAATCCATGCCAGGGGCTGAACTATGATGCCTGCCAGCTCCTTGAGTACCCTTGGGTGTAAACTGTCAGGGCCGGCTGACTTGAAGGTATCCAGCCTGTCAAGGTGTTCCTTCACGAGATCAGTTTTGATGGAGGGTAAGGAACCTCCCTCACCCGGGCATCCCTGACCCACAGTAGGCAGGGGTGTCCCTTGGGACTGGTGAAAAACTGACGTGAAGTACCCATTTAGCAAGTTTGCTTTTTCATGGGCATCGGTTGTCAGTTGTCCCATCTGGTTTAGCCCGGGTCCAGTGTTGCCCTTGCTTTTCCTCTGGCTCCCCACAAATCTTAAAAAAGGGCTTTTTATTGTCCTTGATATTTGTAGCTAGCTGGAGTTCCATCACAGCCTTGGCTTTCCTGGTTTGCTCTCTGCAGGTGCGGACCAGAGCAGAGTATTCCTCCTTGGTGGTGGTTCCAGTCCTCCATCCTTTGTAGGTCTTCCTTTTAAGACACAGGAGGTCCGCTATTTCCTTGCTGAGCCAAGGGGGCTGCTGTGCCCTTTTGCTGCCTTTCCTCCAAGGCGGGATAGACTGTGCTTGCGCATCCAGGATTGCTCCTTTGAGGAGCAACCACTCGTCCTGAGCTCCCCTCCCCTTTGGGTTGTGGCCCTTTAGGGCCTCACTGACAAACCTCCTGAGCTTGTCAAAGTCGGCTTTCCTGAAGTTGAGGACTTCTGTATTGCTGACTGACTTGCCAGCTTTACAGCAGATGGTGAAGGTGATCAGCTCGTGGTCGCTGTCACCCAGCTTCCCTTCGATCATTGGCAAAGACTTCCATAAGTTAACTACACGCTGGGCATGTCTACACGAGACGCTATGTTGCTATAGCGAAGAGTTACAGTGAGATAGCTCGTTGCTATGGCAACGTAGGGTTGGAAACAACCCATGCGCTGCTGGGACTGCGCAGTCAGGGGCACGTGTAGACATGCCCACTGGGTGCATCTCCACATGCACTTTATTGTGGAGTAGGCTAATTAGCTGAGCAGTAAAGCGTCACTGTCTACACACCTGCCAGAATTAGGGTACAGTAAACTAATTAACTCTGCCGTAAGATAGGACTATTGGGGACAGTCCTATCTTACAGCAGGGTAAGTTACCGCACTGAAACACCCATGTAGATACTGACCGTGGGTGTAAACTGCACCCAATCAGCCCAGCCAATCAGGGGCCTGCTCCTCTCCAGCTCAAGTTGCTGCTGTCCCAGGCTCATGTGTAGACGCTTCACCTAGGAGCAGTTTACTTCAGTATGCCAGCTCAAAATGCTCTGGAGTTTATTGTTTCGTATTGATTGCACATGTAACTGTATCCAACATGTGTGAAAATATATAAAATAAATACATACATGGGTTTTTTTAAGTTCTAACCCCAATTCCTG